CGATTAGATAACAAGGCGTTGAAGTTTCAGGAATTAACAACTGATGTTTTTGAGCTGCGCAAAATTACAACCTTCCTCTGCCAACCTTCAGAATTTAGTTGTCATTTTTCTTTCTGTGTTATGCATTGGAAATGGTGAGGATGTTGCTAATGCAATAATTATCCATCTTGTCATGAGTAAACTGGATTCGGCCTCCCAAAATAAATGGGAGGATTCCATCAATTTCGATAACTAACTGACTGGGTTAATAGCGTAAAGGTATTGGTTAAGAGATATGAGTTTCAAGAATGTTGTGACTCTAGATCTAACAATTTCGCTACATAACGCCAAGTCATATCAAAATAAATCGTTCATCCGCAAAAACTCTTCTTTGCGATTGAATTCGCGCGTTTTGTAAGGTTAGCGAACATTATATTTATTATTTTCGCTAGCCAAATTTTGCAAGGCTCAATATCCTTGATCGGTTTTCCAAAGTGCATCAACAATTTGAACAGCGGACACTCAGTCAAGTACACTCTGTTGCGCTCTACATAACACTTTATGACACGCTCTACAATTCGATTTTTAACCATGCTACTGTAAAATTAAGATTTAATAATTTATCGCAAATTTACAGCTTCTAATACTACCATCCATAATTTCCGAGATGCCACAACTTTCATTCAAAATTGACAATTGAAAAATTCCTCAAAACGTTCAGCTAGTTGATCCATGATTCTTCACTCAAAAAGCCATTGATTTATTGGTTGACGCTGATGTATTTTTTGATCTCTTATGCATTGGCCAAATAATATTGGAAAGTGGCTTGCCATCAATACATAAGCTCCTTTTGGCTCGGTTTTATCTGGCAAGTATGAAAATGATAGGAACATATGCACGGCAAGCTTGTTTTTTGTAGTAAATCAAAAATTACATCAATCAGTTAAGGATTTTTGAAAAATAGAATACTTTTGAAATAATACATCAACTGAACTCAATCAAGAACAAACTTCTTCTTACAATTTCATCCTTGAAAATGTTCGAACTTCACCTACTTGAATAATAATAGTCAAACTTCCTTTCAAACCGAATTATATCCAGTTTGGTTCATCGCATACAACTGCTGAATCAAGATTTTGTGGACTCGAAAAACGTCTGAACGCTGAAACCTCCTTGGAGTTGCAATATTCTAATTTCTTTGGCGAATGTTTGGCTCTGAGTCACATGGAGCTCGTTCCTAAATCACGGGAGCACTTCTTGAGGTCAAATATTATTTGCCACACCAAGTATTTAAGCTCGATTCCACAACAGATTCTGGTCTATAATTGAATGATGTGTTAACGGTTGGCTCTGTTGTCAATTTTTGTTGGATAAGGCTGATTTACTTAACCAATGCATCCTATGGAGAGATAAGGCTAACGAGCCTATGAACTTATGAAACTTATGAAACGGCATCTGCTTCTCATCATGCTACCGAGTCATTGATTTGATTTACAAAATTTGATAATACACATCCGTTCGGAGCAGAAATCATTCACAAATGTTTTTATGTTCATGATCTCTTTAGCGGTGGAAGTTCATTCCATGAACTACAACAACTTCGTTCACAGATTTCTTGCATACTTGACGCAGCTGGATTTGAGCTTAAAAATGTCATTCGAACAATCACTAGCTTTTATATGTAATCCAAGAATGTGATAGGGAAGAATTAATATCGTCCAAGGTATATATGAAATTAAAACTCTTTGAAAATTTTCTTCTTTTTACGACAAGGTTGATGAATTCTCTCATGTTGCTTCACTGTCTCTTCCATGGGTGTCTACGAACTCTTGAAATTAAACGAAATTTTCAAGGCCTACCCCAGATTTGCTACAAATAGAAGAAAATTTGACAGAATTTCTGAGAAATGGGCCTTACTTCCTGGATGTAGTCCCGACAGCTTTTTAAATTTCCATTAAATTAAATCTTTTAATAGGATCTCTGATGGTTGTTGCCCGGCTTGCCTCACTAACAAAATTAGGAGGCGGAAATCGATCAGATAACTGACGTAAGAAATTCCTCCGTATTCCACTCGTGGAAGACATTTATCGTTCCATGTGACCCAGCATTTACACATACAAGTTACTTGCATGCAAGTTTGTATAATATTAATTGTCAATTAGTTTTTCGAAATGTCAAATTACTTGCTATTATGACGTAGGCGTTTAGCAAGTTAATTTTTGAAAATGTCTTTCAGAAGAAAACAACTAGCAATATATATAATTGTTTATAAATTTTAGAAACCATAAGTTTGCTAAGTTTAATTTTTTCAAAATAAAATTCAAAAATTTTAAATTAAAAAAAAAAAAAAATCAAAACAACAAATTTTTTTTTTGTGAATTTCTCAATATGTCAAATTTCTTGCTCAAATTACTGGCAGCAAAATTTTCTTGCAAGTTGAACTGCAAGTAAACAAGCAAGTAGAAATATTTCAATGTGTTAGTAAAATTTTTGTATGTATTGCAACTTTCTTGCAAGTAACTTGTACGTGTAAATGCTGGGTGAGAGTCACATTCCTTTGGAATAGTCTCTCTTCATCACTAAGAAGTGAGAAGAAGGAAAGGCGAGGTGACATGTTGTACAAGCAGCATTTTTCCAAAACAAATTTTTTTCCAAATCTTTCCAAAACTAATTTTTTTCTAAATTCTAAATCTAAGTTACCATACTTTTTTACTTTTTATTATTTTTTATTTGTATTATATATATAATGCCATATACCTATATCTACAGGCCATCAAGCTCAGAGAGCAGATCAAAAATGAATTCCAAATTTATATGGAGTTTAAATGGAAGGTGCGTCGGAATTTATTTGTGTGAAGAAAATTGATCAATATTTTTGGCTCTACTGATTCTACATATTTTTTTAAGGTTAAAATTTTAATTTAAAAAAAAACCATTGCTAAATTCCATCAGAAAAATGCATTTAAAAAAAAAATACAATTTTTAGCGCATACAACCTCTCTTGTATTCCAAGTGGAAGGGTACTGAATTACAGAGTAAAATTTTTGAATTAAAAAAGAATTTAAAAATTGCAGAAAAAAAGCGAAAAAAATATAATTATAATCTAGATGGCTTTTTTAAGTTACACTAAATAAAATGAGATTCATAAAGAACACTTAAAAATTTCACAAAAAAAATAAAAAAATTTTATAATTAGCATACTTCGAAAACATAAAACATTAAGAATTGCTTTTGTATTTTTTTCCGATTCAAAATTTCGGAAAATATTTCCAGCTTGAAGTCTTGAAGTCTAATGAATATTATTTTTACATGTATGTATATTATCTATTAAGAGAATCACATGTTAACATATGTACATAAATATATTATTGAATTTGATTGTTTTTAATTGTTGAATTTGCAAACATCTTTTTGCTAAGTTTTGTAATCACCTTTTGCTTTTTCATTATATTTATTATATGTAATTACAGTAGCTATTGTTTAAGTTTCATTTTCGCCATAAAATTTTGCTTTGTATATAATTTCCAGATACTATATCTGATTTATACTACCAATTTGGAAATAAATAAAATACTACATACATATTGCTCTGTCTTGCAAATATTTCAAAAGCTTACACATTGTATAGCACAAAATTAGAAAGCATGCAAAATAGTCATGAATAGTTTTTAAAAGCATTTTTCTGATGAATAATAAAATTATGATTTTTAAAATTTCAATATTTATTGAATATAATCAAGTATTTTCTATTTTTGTATATGAATCAAGCCATTCAAATACATATTAATTTCTTCAAGATCAGAACATTTTATTTTTAATATATGAATTCACAATTGTTAACCGGAAACGACAATCCACTTCGTAACATTGTTGCTGTTTCAAGTTACAAGTCCCCAACCTTAAAAGAAATTATTATTGCACAATTGGCTATTATTAAGCCTTCAAAAAGCAATTGCATGCTCTTTTAGTAAATTATGAAGGATCCTAGGGGAACGCAAAAGAAAAGCAAATGTTTAGTACTAGTCTCAACCAGATCCGTGAGATGAAGATCCCAGAGTTAGAGATCCCAAATCTGCATTAATTATGTAGATATATTTACTTTTTGTTTTGCCTACCTAGCAACTTACTTACCTTTCTAATCTACTAATTTTCCATTTTTCATATGAATGTATGTATATATGTACTTCGCAAAATTGTTACATATTAATGTTACTTGCATTGATGCAAAATAAAATTTTGATTATAAACAAATTGCAGATAACTGCAATGTTGTCTGCTTGAAATAAATATTAAACGATCATTTCCAAAAGTATTTACTGGAATTTCTAAAATATCAAATGCAAGCAAAAAATTAAAGCCCAAATTCTAGCATGAATTTTAGTTCAGATCGAATATATTTTAGTCGGCGCATGTTTTTTATACGAGCAACAACAGTATCTGTAAATAAAGATGACAAAAACCAAAATCGAGTGGGTGATCTGCATGTCATTTTTTTTTTTTTTTGGCATAAATCAACTTCATTTTCGAAATTGAATAATTGAGCAAACAATTTTCGACATAAAATTTTTTTATAAAAGAAGTAATTTAATAAAACCAATTTGATAAAGATAAATTTACCTATGGAACACTCAAATTTGCGTTAAAATCATTGAAAATTCAAATTTGGCGTACCAATAAGAATGCGACTAGAGTTAAACTCACAATGAAGTCAATGTGTTTTTCTATAAACCAAACTGTTTAATGCCAAATTTTTAATTAAAATTTTTTTTGCAAGCGGTAGAACAATAGCAACACTTTAGAACAACCGTTTTCTACTTTGCTATTTTAGTTTAGTACCAAATTTAAAACCTGGAATTGTTAAAGGTTGCAATTCTGCAAACATAATAGTTTTATTAATCCTATTATTAAATATGCATTACTTACACCTCTCATCAAAGTAATTTCGTATTTTAAATAAAATTGTCACTCTAATTTATATATGTATTTATATTGTATACGTAAAATTTTTCGTTTTTACTTACATAAGATATCCAGTTCTTTGGAACATCCCAAATGGAATGATTATAATCACTATATTTAAAGTTAGTTATAAGTTTCAAACGCAATTTACTAAATCTAGGATTGACATTCAAAAATTGCGGTTCTAAAACGCCGACTAAAACAAAGGAATTTATACATGTGTTTATGACAAGCATTGATAGTAAAACAATTACCATATTCTCTAATAATCTTTTCAATGTCGACATTAAAATTATTTTCTATTTCATTTTCATATATTTTGCATAAAAAAACTATATTTGCAATATAATATAAAATCGTGGTTAATGCACCGCATACAGCAAAAACGTATATTTTTTTTTTACTAATCATATGTACATATGTTTTATTTTTCTGCTATACTTCATATTTTATAAAACATTTCCAACAAGAAAAGTTAGACACCGTTTACACATCAAGCAAAGTTTGACAATTCAATTTGACAACATTATGAAATTTCATAAGAAATTCTGTTTACACATCAAGTATTACTTAAATACACATCAAATCTGATGCCAAATTTAATTTAATTTTTTTAATCACATCGAAGTACAGCCAGGTATATAGTGAGGGTGATTCATTTGAAAAATAAAAATACGTGAAAAATGAATAACTTAAGAAAAAGTAGATAATGTAAAATCAAAGGAAAAATAGTTTACTTTATTACGCAAGAACTACTTTTTCCAAAAGATTTAATAAATTCCATTAAATTGTCGCCAACTAGTAATTCTTTTTAGCCATTTTAAATAACTTTAAATTATATAAAAAAACACTAAAAATACAAGCCTCACAATAAAAAGCTGATCACTGAGCTCTTAGCGAGTAAAATCTATCCTCGCCATTTTATTTTTTTATTTCTTCAAAAGCTTGATAAGAATTCAACAAGACCAATTTTCTCATACGATTTTGCTTGATTGGATGGAAACTTGATTTGTCATCGCTATCAACTAGCACAGATTTAATAGTTTTATAATAGCAGTGATACAGATGGAATATATTTCTGAGTTTTTAATAATTCAGTTCTAAAAAGTCACGTGTCGTTCGCGAACGAACTAATCTTAAAGAACGAATCATTTCACCAAACTTAGCTGATTAGTTCACTTCTTAAAAAATGAATCGTTTATCGTTCACTAAAATTTCCAATTCTCTCTTTTAGTTATTGAAAAAAATCACCGCATATACATATTTTATTTACAATTGGTAGTTTATAAAAATTTAATATTTTTCCTTATTTCTTTTTGTATTAATATTACACAATACAAGTGAAATTGAACGATGTACTAAATCCAATGTTCATAAAAACGAACGACATACTCTCTTTATGCAATGTTGATAAAAGCAAATGAAAAGTTAAAATGAAATACTATGCCCCAAAAAGTGACCCAACCAGTTGCCTATAAATACAATACAAGTAAAATTGAACGATATACTAAATCCAATACTCATAAAAACGAACGATATACTCCTATATGCAATATTGACAAAAGCAATTAAGAAGTAAAATAAATGAAATTCTATACACACAAAAGTGACCGAATCAGTTGCCTAATATTAATATACAGTGGAATCCGCTTATAGTCACTACTGTTTATAGTCATAATTCAGTTACAGTCAACAATTTCGTTGTCAACATCTTTTTTATTATATTTTCATGTATTTTCATTTGTTTATAGTCACAAACGTTTATAGTCACATACGGTTATTGGATCGTATTTTTTGTGAACCATATTCCTTAATTCATATATTTGACGTGGCTTATAGTCACATACTCTGAACGCCTTTTTTTCTTAAAGCGGTAAGTAGTTTTACTACCTACTTTACGGCAAATAGTTTTTAGTTTGTAGCGGCAAATATTGTAACTTAAATATTTTGTTCTGTCACTTTTGTGTATGTACATACATAGGTACATTATTTCCACAACAAAAATTTGTCATTAATTTAATTTGTAATTCAAAAAGACGATTTTTATTTATGTACATAATCATATAAGTACTTAATTTAAAATTAAATTTAAAAAAAAAATAAAGTTTTGAGTTTTATTATAAATTTTTTTTTTCTACTGACGCTAATAGGCATATGATGCTTATAGTCACACATTTTTATGAAATTTTTTGTGTGACTATAAGCGGACTCCACTGTAATTCAAGTAAAATTGAACGATATACTAAATCCAATACTCATAAAAACGAGCGATGTAATACGCAATCAAAGTATATCTCCATTCCGTTAGTTTTCGTTTGCATCTTGCTTCCAAATTCTTAAAATATTCCATTTTTTTGTAGAAATAGATGGTAATAAGAGTTGTGTAGGCAAGAAAGAAACAAAATATTGTAAACAAACGAGTGTATCAAAAACATTGAATTAAAATTAAATTAAGTTAGGTAAAAATTTTGTTATTTTTATTTTGATAATAACAAAATTAATTTTTCATTTTATAAAATTTAGGTAAAAAATTGGAATGTATCAAAGCAAAAGAGTTTGAAATTTCATGTATGAATGTACACATGCATGTACCTGGTACAGTAAATACACAGTATCAGGTAGTGACATAGAAATAAAGTAATTTATAAAGAAAAAAGGTGTATACATACTGATTACTTTATGAAATATAATTATTACCGGGAAATATATTATTCATGGCAAATATATTATTCATACCTACATAATGATTCACTTACACGTTAGTAATTTAGTTTAATTTCGAAAAATGAATTAACTGTAAAATTCATTTTGCTCTCATTATAATATGTATAAATGATTTGAAATTCTATACTTATATTTTTATTCGATAAATGGTCACAATGCAGTTAAGTTGATTTAAAATAAGCATGTGTTTTTTAAGTTTAATAAAAATAATTATAAGTGTAACTAACTTGAACATTAAAAATAAGTTGTGTATAAAAATAATAATTATAAGTGAATTAATAATTAAAATAAGTAAGATCTGATAATAATTATAAATGAATAAATAATTTAAAAAATTAATAATAATACAAAAATTATATTCAAAATTTAAAATATAGTGTTTTAATAAAATCAGAACACAAAATGGTCTTCTTGTTTAAATAACTAGGAAGCCATATTGGTGACCCTCGACTAAAAAACACGTGAAAAAAGACTAAAGGGAAATATTTATATATTTTAAATGTAAAAACTTTTATACATTTTAAATAAATTATAATAAAAATCTAATTAGTAAAACAGAAAATTTCTAAATAACAATAATTAAACACTAAATATTTAAAATATTTTCAAAAGTACACATTTATCTCTTCACATCTTTTGGCAACCAATGAAATTTTTGTGTCGGCTTTTTTTCATTCCAAACACTTCAAATAATGTTTACCCATTTTTATAAAAAAAAAAATTTTTTTTTCACAACTATTTAAATTTTTTTTTACTATTGTACGTCTTTTCAAAATTTATTTTTATTATTTTTAAAAATTATATTCTATAAATTATAATAATTTTTTAAACAATTTTTTTCTTCTTCGCTTTTATAATATAATACACATTTTTTGCCACCTTGTACTGGAATGAATTACAGAAATTATTGTGTCGCTTTTAAAATTCTTAATATTTTTCCCTAAACTTTATATAGGAACAAATAATAAAGTGTCGCCTTTCAAAATTACAATATTAAAAAAGAGGTTGACATCTATTGCGTACTCTTTCCCTCTCCCAAAAATTCTTATGTGTATAAAAATGAAAATAAGAAAGTATACATGATAAAAGCGAACGAGATGTGAAATAAATGAAATTCTATACGCACGAAAGTTACCGAATCAGATGCCAATGGAAATACAATACAAGAAAAACTGAACGATGTACTAAATCCAACACAAATAAAAACGAATGGGACCTGAAGTAAATGAATTTTTATTCTATGCAAATAAAAGTGACCGAATTACTTGCCAATATAAATACAATGCAAATAAAAACGAACGAGAACTGATCAAATATAAATAAAATGCAATACAAATACAAATAAAATTTACCTATTTACGTCACACATTTCCAATACTTTTATTTGGATTTGTATATTATTTTGGTAATATAATATACAATACAAATAAGGTAACTGATTCGGTCACTTTTATTTGTATAGAATAAAATATCATTTACTTTTTACCCCGTTCGTTTTTATGAGTATTCGATTTAGTATATCATTCAATTTTACTTGCATTGAATTTATATTGGCAACTGATTCGGTCACTTTTGTATGTATAGAATTTCATTTATTTTACTTCTCATTTGCTTTTGTCAATATTTCATATAGGAGTATATCGTTCGTTTTTATAAAATTGGATTTAGTATATCGTTAAATTTTACTTGTATTGCATATATATTAACAATTGATTCGGTCACTTTTGTGTTTATTTTACTTCTCATTTGCTTTTATCAATATTCCATATACGAGTATATCATTCGTTTTCATGAGTATTGGATTTAGTATATCGTTCAACTTTATTTGGATTGTGCAATATTAACACCGAAACAAATAAGGAAAAATATAAAATGAACGTCAATTACCAATGTAAGTGCAGTAATTTTTTTTAAAAACTAAAAAAGAAAAGTGGAATTCTTAGTGAACTTTTCATTTTTGAAAAAGTGAGGTAATCAGCTAATTTCAGTGAAGTGAGTCATTCTTTAAGATTAGTTCGTTCGCGAACGAAAAATGACTAGTTTTCAGTATCGTACAAAATGTTGAAGTTGAAGGTGGTTCTTGTTGTTTTTCCGCTTTTTCGTATTTATTTTAAGAATTTTAAAATAATTTTGAATGAAAATATTAATATATTTAATTGATTTTTTAAATATATATGCGGAATTATACCTGCATATAGTGTGTATTTATTTCAATATTTCTTCCAGCAAATAGCAACTTCGGTTTAAAAAAACCCATATAAAATAAGGTCGTGCTTTCAAGTTTCTCTCTTAGCATTCGGACTTGCTAGATATAAAGACATTAGTTTGCCAATAAAGTATTTCACGAGCTGCCGAAAAAAGTGTGATCGGAATGCGGGATTATTTTCATAGTTGTTCTATAATTACTACTTCAAAGTAAGATTTTTAAGATATACGCGTAACAATTCAGTTTACATTACTACTACGAATTCAGTTTACTACTACGAAAACTATTTTGTACTCAAAATAAAATAATTTCTGATAAGGAGCATTTATTAGAGTAGATTCTTTTAAATTAGCTATTACTTTAATAAAAAAGTTAAGTCTATATTTCAGTGAACTGGAAAATGAAAGCTTCTGAGAAAGAAGAAAACTTTAGAAAAGACACGAGAGTTTTAGGACTTTTACAAATAAAATAAAACTTATGCTTATGCTATTGCCAAATGTGTAATTTTTGCAATTGCGTTCTTTCTGGAGTCTCAATTAGAAATGTAAATGAATATTGTATTATCAAAAAACATTCTTTAATAAAGTTCAATTAATCAATATATTAAGCAATATTCTGATAGTAGTATCGAACGCAAATATTATATGAATATATCACTTAATAAACTCTCTGTAATAATCGTGTAAATGTGTCGAACTAATTTCAACGAACGAATCACTTCACGGAACTTGACTTATTAGTTCACTTCTTCAAAAATGAATCGTTCACCGAGAATTCCGAATCTCTTTTTTTATACCCTGCATTTCGTGTAGGGTATTTTAAATACTTGAAGGAGCCATCTGCGGAATGGATCTATATATATATTCTTCCTCAGCGTAAAATTCTGCGTTGATTTAGACATGTATGTCCGTCCGTCCGTCCGATCGCACGATAACTCAAAAACGAATAATGCAATCGACACCAAACTTACACACTTTTTTTGTTGTGCCAAGGACGAACCCTATTGTAATTGGACTAATTCGGACAACGGGTTCGGGTAGCTGCCATACAACTCAAAGAGTTTATTTTAAATATTTCAAAAACTAATAAAGATATAACTGTAAAATTTTGTATATGTGTCCAATTATATTTTACACACGCTCTAAAAATTTTAATGGGATAGCTGCACCGGTTCGGGTGGCTGCCATACGACCCCAAAAACAATTTTTTTATATACGGCAAAATAATAAAGTCTGATTAATGAAACTTGGCAGCCATGTGTCCAATTATAGGTCAAATATATTTCTGAAGTTTTGATGAAATTGCTTGACAGGTTCGAATAGCTCCCATACAAGTCTAAAAGCTAATTTTAAATATTTGGACAAATAATAAAGTCAGATTCATGAAACTTGGCAGTCGTGTGTCCAATTATAGGTCAAATATATTTCTGAAGTTTTGGTGGAATTTCTTGACAGGTTCGAGTAGCTCCCATACAAGTCTAAAAGCTTATTTTAAATATTTGAAAAAAAAAAACTTGGTAACATGAAACTTGGTAGTCGTGTGTCCAATATTTATCAGGTGGTTAATGCACCGCATACAGCAAAAACGTATATTTTTTTTTTACTAATCATATGTACATATGTTTTATTTTTCTGCTATACTTCATATTTTATAAAACATTTCCAACAAGAAAAGTTAGACACCGTTTACACATCAAGCAAAGTTTGACAATTCAATTTGACAACATTATGAAATTTCATAAGAAATTCTGTTTACACATCAAGTATTACTTAAATACACATCAAATCTGATGCCAAATTTAATTTAATTTTTTTAATCACATCGAAGTACAGCCAGGTATATAGTGAGGGTGATTCATTTGAAAAATAAAAATACGTGAAAAATGAATAACTTAAGAAAAAGTAGATAATGTAAAATCAAAGGAAAAATAGTTTACTTTATTACGCAAGAACTACTTTTTCCAAAAGATTTAATAAATTCCATTAAATTGTCGCCAACTAGTAATTCTTTTTAGCCATTTTAAATAACTTTAAATTATATAAAAAAACACTAAAAATACAAGCCTCACAATAAAAAGCTGATCACTGAGCTCTTAGCGAGTAAAATCTATCCTCGCCATTTTATTTTTTTATTTCTTCAAAAGCTTGATAAGAATTCAACAAGACCAATTTTCTCATACGATTTTGCTTGATTGGATGGAAACTTGATTTGTCATCGCTATCAACTAGCACAGATTTAATAGTTTTATAATAGCAGTGATACAGATGGAATATATTTCTGAGTTTTTAATAATTCAGTTCTAAAAAGTCACGTGTCGTTCGCGAACGAACTAATCTTAAAGAACGAATCATTTCACCAAACTTAGCTGATTAGTTCACTTCTTAAAAAATGAATCGTTTATCGTTCACTAAAATTTCCAATTCTCTCTTTTAGTTATTGAAAAAAATCACCGCATATACATATTTTATTTACAATTGGTAGTTTATAAAAATTTAATATTTTTCCTTATTTCTTTTTGTATTAATATTACACAATACAAGTAAAATTGAACGATGTACTAAATCCAATGTTCATAAAAACGAACGACATACTCTCTTTATGCAATGTTGATAAAAGCAAATGAAAAGTTAAAATGAAATACTATGCCCCAAAAAGTGACCCAACCAGTTGCCTATAAATACAATACAAGTAAAATTGAACGATATACTTAATCCAATACTCATGAAAACGAACGATATACTCCTATATGCAATATTGACAAAAGCAATTAAGAAGTAAAATAAATGAAATTCTATACACACAAAAGTGACCGAATCAGTTGCCTAATATTAATATAATTCAAGTAAAATTGAACGATATACTAAATCCAATACTCATAAAAACGAGCGATGTAATACGCAATCAAAGTATATCTCCATTCCGTTAGTTTTCGTTTGCATCTTGCTTCAAAATTCTTAAAATATTCCATTTTTTTGTAGAAATAGATGGTAATAAGAGTTGTGTAGGCAAGAAAGAAACAAAATATTGTAAACAAACGAGTGTATCAAAAACATTGAACTAAAATTAAATTAAGTTAGGTAAAAATTTTGTTATTTTTATTTTGATAATAACAAAATTTATTTTTCATTTTATAAAATTTAGGTAAAAAATTGGAATGTATCAAAGCAAAAGAGTTTGAAATTTCATGTATGAATGTACACATGCATGTACCTGGTACAGTAAATACAAGTTATATATCCAACTAATGAGATATTATCTAAAATAATAGAACTGAATTCTATTTAGCTCTAAGAGTAATAAAATATAAAATTTATTATATGATTCTTATAATTTCCACTTAAATAATCTAAATTCAAACATAAGAATCATAATTTCTTATTTCTTCTTTTTCTTATTATTATTCTCAAGTACTTGACCTATCCTAATTTTTAATAAAGAATTAAAAAATATAAAGATCAAATTTCACATTTATTTTTCAAGTTCAACACATTTATTTTTTAAATTATATTTTTTTTTTTTTTCGTTCATTAAGTTGAGGAATCATGTTACAAAACGACAAAATAAAAATTGTTTCACAATTTCCTTTTCAAGTGCAACAAACTAAATTTATTGCATTTGAAAAGAAGAATGTTACGTAAAATATAATTTTTTTTCTTGTTTTGATAAAATATGTTACTATGTAAAAAATTGAACAAAAATCGATTTTCGATTTTTGAATACTTTAATAATAAGATTTTAAAAAATAAAATTTAGTTTAAGTTTTGGTTTCGTCAGATTTAGTAATATAAAAAAATAAAATAAAATAAATTCTTTTGTTGTTTACTAAAAAACCTTTTGTTGTTTTATTAAAAAAAGTAACAAATTAAACTGGCGCAGAAACGGTAGGATCGCCAACTGACGCCATTCGGTATAAAGTAATTAATTAAAAAAAAAAAAAAAAAAAAAAAAAAATGCAAAACAATTAAACTTTACCGAAATAAAATCATTATAATATTAATAACAAAAAGTTATTCATTATTACTAAGACCATTCGTTTAAATTAATCAAGATAGTATCAATAATTTAAAACGGGTCTGAACTAAAATATTATCTGAAAACAAAAAAACAAAAAAGTGCGTTAGTTTTTTTTCTTAAAAAAATTTACGGCGATAAAAGAACATAGTAAAACAAAAAGAATTTCATAAAAAGAAAAAATCTAAAATTAGATGAAACCGTATCGAATTTTCAAAACAAGTAGAAAATCACTTAAACTCGAAATAATTGCTGAAGAAGATAAAGTGCTAGAAAATATTAAATTAATTAAAAATAATAAAAACAACACGACAAAAATGGCACTGGATTCAATTTCAACACGGGACTTAATCATGGAAGCAAGATCAATACCAATATTTAACGGAGACGGAACATTTGAGCTGACAGCTTTTATAAGGGAAGCTGACGCAATAATCGGACTGACAGCAGATGTTGCGCTGAAATCATACCTCAAGAACATAATTTTGTCAAAAATTCAAGGAGAAGCAGCTATTAGCATTAGGCGATTAGAAAATGCAACGTGGGACGAAATTAAAACCCAACTAACAAAATCATTTGGTATCCCAGAGTCGTACCTGAAATTAAAGGAAATGGCCGACGCTGTCAAATTTATAAATGTAAGTCAATTTTATTCAGAATTAACTATAATTTTAGATAAATTAAATTTAAAATATAAGTTAGATCCAGATAGTCCGATAGATTTTAAGCCTTCTAATAATGAACATAGTATATTAGAAAAATTTTTGAACAAACTTCCGCGGTCAGATAATATGTACCTGAGAATAAAAGGTGTAAAAAGTTTAGAAGAAGCATATTCTGAACTATGCCAAACTGGCATTACGTGTAATTCAAATTATAATAATAAAAATCAAAATTATATTGCAAAAAGAAATCAAAATCATGCGGGACTTCCAAATCAAAGAAGTAACCGAAATATATTTCACAATAATAACAGATATAACAATAATAATAATAATTATAATAATAGTGGTAGTCGTAATGTTTCTAACTTTAGTAGAAGTTTTAATAACAATTATAATAACTCCGGGCAAAGTAAATTCAATAGAACAATAAATAACTTTAGTAGAAACTCTGGTAATAATTATAATAACTCAGAACAAAGTAGATTCAATAGAACAATAAATTTTAACAATAGTAATAGAAATCACCAATCTCCAGAACCGATGGATGTTGACGTAAATACAATAACGCAAAATAACACACAAAATAACTCTGAACAAAATTTTCATTTACAGCCTCGGACAACACTCTACCAATAGTAGAATTTACTATCGGTAATAAAAAATTTAATTGCTTGATTGACACAGGCTCCACAACTTCTATCATTAATGACTCACTATTCCCAGAAATTAAAAAGACAAAATTAAAAGAGCCTGTAGAACTAAACACTTTATTTGGAAAGAGCAAAATTTATTACACATTAATAACTGATGTTCCCATCGAATTTAATCATAAAGCTCAGATACTTTGGAGGGTAATTAATTTAAAAAATAAAAATTTTGATGCAATTTTGGGTCAAAATGTTCTGAGAAATATTGGTGCAAAAATCGATTTAAAACAACACTTTATTGAAATTATGGGAAAAATAACAAAATTTAAATTTTCTTGTCCTTATGAAGTTGTTGACCAACTATATTCTTTAGACTTTAAAAATAACAATATTCTTGATTATATCAAAACTGACCATCTCAATAATGAAGAACATAAAATGTTGAAAAAAATTGTTTATGAAAATAGGGACCTATTTTACCAAGAAGGTCAAAATTTAACCAACATCAATTGCATAAAACATCAAATCATAACAACCGATAGTCGACCTGTTTACTCAAAAATTTATAGATTTCCTAAAATTCATGAACTGGAAGTCGAAAATCAGGTTAAGGAAATGCTATCACAGGGGATAATTAAACATAGTAGCTCTCCCTATAATTCTCCAATTTGGGTGGTCCCTAAAAAACTAGATCAATCGGGACAGCAAAAATGGAGAATCGTCGTAGATTATAGGAAGTTAAATGAAATAACTGTAGAAGACAAATTTCCGATTCCAAATATAGAATCACTTTTCGATAAATTGGGAAAAGCCCAATACTTCACAACACTTGATCTCGCTAAAGGATTTCACCAAATCCTTGTAGACGAAAAAGATCAGCAAAAAACAGCCTTTTCGACTCCTCAAGGACATTATGAGTTTGTTAGGATGCCATTCGGTTTAAAGAATGCTCCGGCAACATTCCAGAGGATGATCAATTACGTTTTACGCGACTTCATTAATATTAACTGCGTTGTATATCTTGATGATATATTAATTTTCAGTACCTCACTTCAGGAGCATGAAAATGCTATAATAAAAATTTTTGAAAAACTTAGAAAATTTAATTTAAAAATTCAGTTAGACAAATGTCTCTTTTTCTCTAAAGAATCGGAATATTTGGGACATCTTCTTACAGACAAAGGAATAAGACCCAATCCAAAAAAAATTGATATTATAAAAAAACTTAAACTTCCAAACTCTCGAAAATCAATTAAAAGCTTTCTTGGGATAACCGGGTATTACCGGAAGTTTATAAAAGATTACGCAAAAATTGCGCAACCTTTAACCTACTGTTTGAAAAAGGATAATAAAATCGATGTAAGTAATCCAAAATATATTGCCGCTTTTGAAAAATTGAAAGAAATTATTACAAGTGATCCTATTTTAAGATATCCGAATTTTAATTACAAATTTACCTTGACTACCGATGCAAGTGATTTCGCGATTGGAGCTGTTTTATCGCAAAACGGCCATCCGATTTCATTTGCCAGTAGAACATTAAATGACCATGAAACTCGCTACAGTACTATAGAAAAAGAACTGTTAGCAATCGTATGGTCTACAAAATATTTTAGACCGTATCTTTATGGTGTTAGATTCACGATAAAGACGGATCACAGGCCTTTGGTGTGGCTGAACTCTTTAAAAGAGCCAAATTCAAAACTCCAAAGATGGAGAATAAAACTAAATGAGTTCAATTTTGATATCGAATATGTGAAGGGCAAGGATAATAAAGTTGCCGATTTTTTAAGTAGAATTAATGTTGAAAATAATGAAATTAATGTATTACAGAATAATGTTTTGTCAGAAAATCAAAGCGGTGTAGCTACAATTCATAGTGGCGTCGAAAATTTGGGCGACCACATTCCAATTGTAGAAAACATCGTAAATAAATATTTAAATCAGATTCATCTTGTAGCAAAGAAACCTGGTGAACTGATTATAAAATACAATAAATATAGAAAAATTTTTATCTCTGAAGAAGACTTAAACAATGAAAATTATTTAAATGATTTCTTAAGGCGATTTATAAAAAACGGTACAACTGCAATTTATTCGGAATTAAATGACAGTAAATTTAATATTTTACAAAGAAAATTAATTGAATTGTTTAGTAATAATAGAAAAATTAAATTAATTAAATGCACAAAATTAGCTCAAGATGTAGAAAATGAAGATGATCTCATTAATATTATAAAAAATTTTCACGAAAAAACTAATCATCGCGGAATATTAGAAAATTTTAATGAAATCAAAGATAGTTATTTTTATCCAAAATTAAAAGATTTCATTTATAAATTTATAAATAATTGTAACACTTGTAATTTGGCAAAGTACGATCGAAGCCCAAATCAATATAAATTTAATTTGTCCGAAACACCTTCTGAACCTAACCAAATAGTTCATGGTGACACCTTTTATCTAAAGAAGGAAGTGTTTCTCACTACGATCGATAAGTTTTCAAAACACCTCTCAATTTTCAAGTTAAGCGATAGAAATAGCGTTAAGATTAAGAAATTCCATGTTTGGGAAACCAAAAAAATTTATATTTGATAATGAATTTGATAGCTTAAATACGAAAGATTTTTGTAGATTAGAAAATATAGAACTGCATTTCACTTCACCAAGAAGTCATACTGGTAATTCAGACATAGAAAGGGCTCACGGAACTGTCATAGAACATATAAGAATATTAACTATATCCGACCCGAATCTAGACACTGAAAGCAAAATTTTAAAAGCCGTAGAATATTATAATAATACGCTTCATTCAGTAACTGAAGTTAGACCATCGGATTTTATTAGTGGAAAAATCTCAAACTTTCAGGAAATCAAAGATAGGCTACAACAAAAAAAAGAGAAAATCATAGGTAAATTAAATAAAAATAGAAAAGATTTCAAAATCCCAAATGACTCTGAAATATTAATACAAAACCCTGCTATAGTCCGTTATAAAGAACTACCTCGCTACAAGAAAATTAAAGTGAAAAAATACGAAAATAAAATTACAGATACTATGTAATAATAAAAATTTACACCCTACCAGGATTAAAAGAAAATATAAATTCTTTTCAGGTAATCCATCAAATTAAAGTCATCCTTAGAATACTTTTTCAAATTACTATAATCGCTTCCATGATTTTACCCAGTAGTACAGCCATTATCACCTTAGAAAAAATTGATACAGAATCTGGTTTTACAACGATCCAACAAGAAGAAATCCCAATAGTTGAAAGTTATACTAAAATTCTTCATATTATCGATTTAAACGAAATCGAATATACCATTAAAACTATAGAATCCTATATAAACGAATCGTACAAATTGTCACAAGACGACATAATCTTTAAAACTTTAACTGATAAAATAAATAAAATTAAACATACGACTAAAACACTAATTCCTTATAGACATAAAAGAGCATTGATGAATGTTGGTGGTTCATTCCTTAAATGGATATTTGGTACAATGGACGAAGACGATAAAATTGAAATTGAGGAACATATGAAAAACTCGGAACAAAACACCCATAACTTAATAACGAACTACAATAACCAAATAAAAATTAACGACAACATTCAGAATAATCTTAATATTTTACAGAAAACTATAAACAAAAATCACATATTAATTGACAAACTTTTAAATGACGTTTCAGTGGAAAATAAAAATATAACAAAACAATTGCAATACTTGCAAATACTTACCAACATTAACCTTTTAAACGACGAAATTGAGAAAATCCAAGAAAACGTAATCTTCTCCAAACACCAAATAATGAGTAGATCAATCTTAACACCAGAGGAAATAGATCTTTATGATATCGACGTTTTTAAAATTCAGGAACTTAAGAGCTCCTTAGCAACAACAAATGATAATAAATTAGTATTTGTTTTGGCAATACCAATTTTGAGTAATGAAAAAGCTATTAAATATAAAATATTTGGACTACCAAATTCAAAATTTGAACTAGTCGATATTCCAAATTCTGATATTATATCTTTTAAAAATAAAACATATTATCTTACCCAGGAAAGATATATAAAGAAATTGCAATTAACTTCAAATTGTATTTCAAATCTTTTTATAATGGCATATGGTAACTGTTCTAAGACTACTGAAAAAAATTATAAAATAGAAGAAATTAATAAAGGTATGATTTTAATAATAAATGCCCAAAATCATACTTTAAAAAGCGATTGTAATGATATAACATATTTACTAAATAAAAATTATATAATTTACTTTAGCAATTGTACTATTGAAATAAATAATATTAAATTTTCAAACAAAAATAAAGAGTTTAAGTATAATATCGTTATTCCGAATTATACCACAATTAAAAATATTAATAATACAATTAAGTTAGAAAATTTAAATCTTAAGCAATTAGAAAATAATAAAGAAATTCACGAAATTAAAAATAAAAGAAAGTTTAATGAAAATTTAACATATTTTAATACAATTTTTGTAATAATAATGCTTTTTATTTTAATCATTTTAACTTATATGTTAATTAAAACAAGAAAAGAAAAACCTCTAAATAATATAAACAAAATTGATTCTCAACGTTTTGTCCAGGAGAACAAAAATCTTAAGGATGGGGGAGTTATATATCCAACTAATGAGATATTATCTAAAATAATAGAACTGAATTCTATTTAGCTCTAAGAGTAATAAAATATAAAATTTATTATATGATTCTTATAATTTCCACTTAAATAATCTAAATTCAAACATAAGAATCATAATTTCTTATTTCTTCTTTTTCTTATTATTATTCTCAAGTACTTGACCTATCCTAATTTTTAATAAAGAATTAAAAAATATAAAGATCAAATTTCACATTTATTTTTCAAGTTCAACACATTTATTTTTCAAATTATATTTTTTTTTTTTTTTCGTTCATTAAGTTGAGGAATCATGTTACAAAACGACAAAATAAAAATTGTTTCACAATTTCCTTTTCAAGTGCAACAAACTAAATTTATTGCATTTGAAAAGAAGAATGTTACGTAAAATATAATTTTTTTTCTTGTTTTGATAAAATATGTTACTATGTAAAAAATTGAACAAAAATCGATTTTCGATTTTTGAATACTTTAATAATAAGATTTTAAAAAATAAAATTTAGTTTAAGTTTTGGTTTCGTCAGATTTAGTAATATAAAAAAATAAAATAAAATAAATTCTTTTGTTGTTTACTAAAAAACCTTTTGTTGTTTTATTAAAAAAAGTAACAAATTAAACTTACACAGTATCAGGTAGTGACATAGAAATAAAGTAATTTATAAAGAAAAAAGGTGTATACATACTGATTACTTTATGAAATATAATTATTACCGGGAAATATATTATTCATGGCAAATATGTTCTAAATTTATTAAGATTGCAATAAAAATTAAAAATTTAAAGATAATTTATTTATTTTATTTATTAATTACAAATGCCTGTTGAGATCTTTCTCACAAAAGGTTCTACACTCCTGAATTGATTTTTAAATTATTGAAAAACACTTTCTTGAATATTAACATACTCTCTTAAACTTGGCTTAATTATGTATATTTAAATTACCTACATAATGATTCACTTACACATTAGTAATTTAGTTTAATTTCGAAAAATGAATTAACTGTAAAATTCATTTTGCTCTCATTATAATATGTATAAATGATTTGAAATTCTATACTTATATTCTTATTCGATAAATGGTCACAGTGCAGTTAAGTATATTTAAAATAAGCATGTGTTTTTTAAGTTTAATAAAAATAATTATAAGTGTAACTAACTTGAACATTAAAAATAAGTTGTGTATAAAAATAATAATTATAAGTGGATTAATAATTAAAATAAGTAAGATGTGATAATAATAATCATAAATGAATAAATAATTTAAAAAATTAATAATAATACAAAAATTATATTCAAAATTTAAAATATAGTGTTTTAATAAAATCAGAACACAAAATGGTCTTCTTGTTTAAATAACCAGGAAGCCATATTGGTGACCCTCGACTAAATGTAATGCATATACAATATACATACATTAATTACATACATTACTATATACCTACCTATTCACGATATACGTACATTACCATAATATATAGCATACATACATTGCTTACCTAAACGGTTTAAAATTTCATTACTTGCAAACAAGCGGCATATTATCATATGGTGAACATATGTTTCGCTTACACTTTATGATGTGTATAACAACAATGTATACCTTTATGTTTATATTATACATTAGAGTATAAAGCGGTATGCATAATGTTAATATGAAAAATGCAAGCCTATGCATTTTCAGTCATTATTATTGTTTGACGTAATTTTGGGTAATGAGTGAATGAAGGTATATGAATTGCACTTTCTTTTCCAGGAAATAGAAATAATTAACTAGAAACCTAGATTTTAAGAAACATATTGTAAATATTACAATAACAATTTAAAGTAAATTTAGAATAAGAATTTAGTATAAATAGTAGAATAAGTTTTTGAAATAAACAATCAAAGTTTTGAATCGAAACTACAAACATCTTGTTTTTCCTTTTAAAACTGAAGATTCTCCAAATCGGCAGTAGTGCCAAACTTGGATAGATCGGCGTTTATCGCCATTAGGGAAAATATAATTCAAATATAAAGAATATATATAAATATAATCTTATTACGTGACAACCCTGCCAAACATAAACTTATTACATGGCGACCCATGCCACAACTGAACCTACAATAAGACCACCAACACCTAATGACTATGTAGAATTAGAAAGACCACCCAAGCCCAAGGAACAAAAAACAAGAGGAGGAAGATTAGTCAAATTAAGACAAAAGAAGGCAGAACTACAATATTTAATACCAATATCAAACATCAAACAAAGAAAAGCATTCCAGCAAGAACTAAACCTAGTAATAAAAGAGCTCAAATTCCGTAAAAATGGGAACAGGAACTAGTAAGAATGAAGAAATTACAACGTTTAACAATCAACCATCAGAGATCCAGCCCATACAACCTACCATTACAACAAACCAGGAACAAACAATAGTAATACTGATAATAATACTAATAATCTTAACCATCGTAAAAATACTACTTAAATACTTTGCTACTTATTTAAAGAAAACGATTAAGAAAGAACTAACAAATATTACTGTTTAAAATAAAGAATATATAAACGAAAAATTCTCTTTTAATGTCCATCAATGAATTGTTACAACAAATAGAAACCCTAACGAAATTAGAAAATCTCTATTCTAGGGAAAAAAGAATAACAAATTCAGACTTAGAAGAAAGAAAAACAATAATAAATAACATCAAAATAAAATATAACAATATATTGAAAAATAGCGCTTTAGATAAGCAAATTAAAGCAGCAATACATGAAAAGTTCTTGAAAGTATACATAAATTTAACAAAAATTACAAAACTGGAGAATATAACAGAACAGGATACAACCCTGACATCAGATACAAGTAGTGAAGATAACAACACAACAATAATAAAAGAAGCAACAATGGAATTTGACATAGATAAGACAATTAAGATAATACCTCTATTTGACGGTGAAAGTCAAAATTTAAACAATTTTATAAATCTAACCAAATATTTATATGACGCAACAAAAGAAACAGATAAACAAAAATTAATTCAGTTTATCTATCATACAAGAATAAATGAAAAAACAAGAAACAAAATAATAACAGAAGCTAAACCTGAAAATTTCGTTGAATTCGAGAAAATATTTAACAAAGTTTTTTCAAACAGAAAAAACCAAACTACAATACACACTGAATTATCAACAACAATACAAGCCAACAGACCACTCAACAAATACATAGAAAGAATAGAAAAACTGATAGCTGAATTAAATATGGTACAACTACTCGAACTAGGTGAAGAACACAGAGCAACCATAGTAAAACTCAATGATCAACTTGCTCTAGGGACTTTCAAAACAGGATTATCAGAACCCCTACACTCACTAATATTCGCAGCACAACCCAAAACATTCAATGAAGCTGTCAAAATTGCCACTGAAGCAAGCACAAACAACAAAACAACAACAAATAACATCCTATACTACAAAAACAACTATTATAACAACAAAAATAATAAAAACAACAACAAATACAACAACGGTCTTAAGTATAGTAACAATAGGTTTCACAATAAAAATAGCTTCCAAAACAGAAATAATAATTTCCAAAATAGGAATAATAACGATAACAATAATAAATATAGAAATAATAAGAAATTTAAAGTTAGACAAATAAATATAGAACAGGGAAACGGTCAGGTCTCCGAGGAGCTCATCGGAGATATAAACAAAATAAATATAATCTAAATGAAAATTCAAAAATCTTTAAGATAAATAAAGATAATATAAATTATGTAAAATTGAAAACCAATTTTAACTTTTTAAATTTATTATTAGATACAGGAGCAGAGATCTCCATAATAAAACAAGAACTAATAGAAAATGAAGATTTTATAAATAGCAATGAAATATGTAAAATTACAGGCGTGAATGAACACCCAATTCATTCAGTAGGAACCATTTCTTTAAAAATAAAAGTTAACAATACTTATATGAGTCATAAATTCCATGTAGTAGGCTCAGAATTTCCAATTCCAACTGACGGCATATTAGGTTCAGAATTTTTCCATAAATACAGATGTATTTTAGATTTTGATACATTCTTGTTTTCTATAAAGGTCAATGGAGAAGAAATTGAAGTTCCCATTGAAACCAAAATACCAAATTACAATCAAATTAATATTCCTGCACGGACAGAAATAATATACCCCCTAAACATAAAAATTGAAGAGGACAGTGTCATATTAAACCAAGATTTAGGAAAAGGTATTTTCTTAGCAAATTCAATTATACCTGCAAAGGGTGTACCCCATATAAAAATCCTAAATACAAATAACCGAAGTGCTACAATAACAAATTTGCAACCCAAAATAAAACCTTTAAAGAATTACGACATATTAAAAATTTCAAATATAAAACAAAATAGAACTGAAGAATTATTGAAAGAACTAAATGTGACTACTTTAGATGAAAAAGCAAAACAAACTATTCTAACTATCTGCAAAAACTTTTCAGACATATTTCAATTAGAAAAAGATAAATTAACACATAACAATTTCTATACACAAAATATTCCACTTCAAGATAAAACCCCAGTTTACATAAAAAATTACAGATTACCTCAAACACAATTAAAAGAAATACAAACACAAGTAGATCAACTACTTAAA